AGGGAGTAATTTCAAACAGCATCAACTGCAACATAAAAACCCCTGGCAGGTTCAAATGTATAGGTGTAATGAGTGCAATTACGAAACTGAATTAAAGGGTAATATCAAAAAGCACCAACTGAAACATAAAGAGCCCTCGCAGGTTCAAATGTACAAGTGTAGCGACTGTGATTACGAAAGTAAATACAAAAATGCTGTCAAAACGCACCTACTGAAACATAAAGATCCTTCACTGGTTCAAATGTACAAATGTAACGACTGCAGCTATGAAACTAAATACAAGAGTCATATCAAACAGCATCAATTGCAACATAAAGAGGGCTCGCAGGTTCCAATTTATAGGTGTCGCGTCTGCGATTACAAAACTAAATACAAGTATCATATCAAAAGGCACGAACTGAAACATAAAGAGCTTTTGCAGGTTCAAGTACACAGGTGTAACGACTGCAATTACGAAACTAAAATAGGGAGTAATTTCAAACAGCATAAACTGCAACATAAAAACCCCTTGCAGGTTGAAATGTACAGGTGTAAGAACTGCAATTACGAAAGTAAGTACAAGGGTAATATCACAAAGCACCAACTGAAACATAAAGATCCTTCACAGGTTCAAATGTACAGGTGTAACGATTGCAATTACGAAACTAAATTAAAGGGTAATTTCAAACGGCATCAACTACAACATAAAAAACCCCGTGCAGTTTCAAATGTACAGATGTAAGGACTGCAACTATGAAACTAAATACAAGAGTAATATCAAACGACACCAACTGAAACATACAGATCTTTCACTGGGTCAAATGTACAGGTGTTAGGACTGCAATTACGGAAGTAAATACAGCATGGTTATGAAACGACACCAACTGATGCATAAAAATCTTTCGCCCGTCTAAACATACAAGTGTAACGGCTGCGATTATGAAACTAAATAGAGGAGCGTTATAGAACGTCACATGTTGAAGCATAAAGGCTCTTCATAAATGCAAATGTACAGAATGCTTTGCTAACAACCGAGCATTGAGAGTCTTTGAGGAGACCTCAGTTGATCCACAAGAAATGGTTTGCAGGTGTGAATTATCACTTTTTGTTCACTGTGTAAAATTTTGGCAAAAATGGAGGCATTTAGAGCAACAAGTGTGTATATTATTATTAGTATAGTATTGTTGAAATACATTGGTTGAAACACGAGAACCTTGCCAAAACGGAGGCTGACAAGTGATTTTGGACTAATATTTGCAGAATTCACTGGTACCTAGTTATGTCCATACTTTTCCTGTGTTTCTCGAAATGCTACCGTTGACATACTGTTCATAACTTCAACAAGTGATATATTAAACTTATACATTAATTTTAAATGGCCATATTTTCAATTGTGTAGAACATGTAATTAATAGAAAGGTCTGTTATAAAATAAATATACATAATTTTTATGGTAGAAACTGTCATATTTGTGGGCTGCTAGATCGACTATACAGGGTTCCCCAATTTTTATCTTTCAAACTTTAGGAGCGCATAGAACAACCAAGAATGATGGTACTTTGTTTTATAAAACATGTTTTGCTCGATTTTAGTTGAAAAACAAATCATTTTCAGATTATTATTTTTATCCTAAAATGAGTTTATAGTCGGGATAAATCGAAAATGATTCTAGAACTATTCGTTTGACAAAAAAAGTATTTAAATGTTTTGTTACAAATACAATTTTAAATCATTAAAATTACGAAAAATTCAGTGATGTAGAAATTTCCCCCTTCTATATTTACTAAAGATCTCGTTTGGTGTTTTGTGAATTGCTGCGATAAAATGGATTAATAGTTAACAAATACCGAATGTATCAAATTTCAATTCTAAAAATTCTAAATTGGTGATACATAAAAAATAACCCCCATCAAGTTTATCAAATTTTTAGGATTGTACTTTGATCTCAGATGGTGGGAGCATGTTGATCATGTACTAAAAAAAATCTTAATCAAAATATTGGCAAAAATGGAGGCATTTAGACCAACAAGTGTGATGTAAAAATATATCTTATTCATTCATGTGTCTAGATAAAAATTCATTGTCGTTCACTACCGATTAAAAACGCATTAAAAGCTATGGTAATGACCGAATATTATGGTAGGTCAAGATACGCGCTTGATAAATCTTTGTTCTGTTGCGTTGTTCGAAATGTTATTACAGCTTACATGAATATTTTTTAGACTCCGTAACAGACCCGTCCTAGAATAAGTGTTTAATTATAAGTGTTTGTATGTGTTGTATGTTTCCCATGTGTATGTTAAATTTATACGCTGTTTTTATGAATTATCCTATCCCTAAAAATTTCTACTCTAATGTTTTTTTACTCGGAACGATTACTGTTTCAGCTAAAATTTATTTGCATAATAAATTCATAAGTACAGAAATCCTACATGTTAAGGTTATATACATATAACCTTAACATGTAGGATTTCGTTCCTGTATGTACTACATTAGACTGTTTTAACTTTATATACGTACGAGTTACGACGACAGCTTACAGAAAACGTTTATAAAAACACTTAAAACACTTGGCGGTTGGTATTCCGAATGCTTCGGTATAGCCCGGGAGCCAGCGACCGATTTGAGTTAGTCGTTTGGCAAAAGCTGAAAATTCTTCCTACGCTTCATTTGGTGTCACTAGTAAGTGATAGTAAGTAATAAAATAAAAAAAACTAATACCGCAAAACCGGAGACTGTCGAAAAGTTAACTATGTTATAAACAAAAGAAAAAACGCAATCGGCTGACTTTAGAGTGGGGGGTTATGCCTCAGCTTTTCACCTAAACCAGTCAAAAATATGCGCCAGGTAAACTGATACCGAAAAACCTGACATTTCGTAATCAGTGATACGAAAAAAATTGTCCGCTGAAGTTTTTGCAGTGTATAAGTGCTCAGCTGACGAGTTGAAGGTGCAGCACATCGCTATGCGTGCGGGCGCATTGCATCTTTAACTTTATCAGCTGAGCACTTTTGAATTGCTAAATATAAAGCCGAGCATTTGTTTCATTTAACTTATTAAGTTAGCTATTGTATTACCAAATTTCAGCTTTTGCGGTAGGAGATATCTATCATTTTTTCATTTTCAAGTCTTACTAGTAATTATATAAAAATATACAACTTTTTTCGAATATTTATTTACAATAATCGATTTCACGAGTTTTAATAAATAAATATTCACATTTAAATACTTATAACATAAAATTGAACTGCATCAACATTTTCTGCGGACAACGTACATTGTAAATATTTGGGCACACGCTCATCTTCAGGTCCCAACAGAATTATATCCGACTGGTTTCGGCTGGGAAGAGAAGGGGGACAAATTTATTTTCAAATGGTTCGCGAGTGAACAGCTGCCCTCTTCTTCCCTTGGAGATATAATTATCGAGGATGAGCAAAAAAATAATGCAAGTTAGAATTATACTAATATATTTCGCTCTATAGGTACTAAAATTTCATTATTTAAGTGTAAATTTTTTATTATTTCATTTACATAATGTAAAATACAATTTAAAAATATTNAAAGTTCATATAAATGTAGGTCGAAATATGTTTCATTACCAAGATACAGTGTTTAAATTTAAATTTTGTATTTATTTTTATTAATTATTTCAAAGACTTTTAAAGATATTGACTTGAAATTTGTAAAACGCTTTGGAGGGATAAATGTGTATTTTTTGGACTGATCCGAATATTTCTACTTGCATTAGTGGCGTTCCTGTGAGAATGCCACAACCTTTTTTAGTAGACAAAAATGGTACGCCACTGACTTTTTCTCATTTTGATATTTTTTTAAGAAATCCGCCATCAATTCTGAATGATATTGGTCTAATTTTTTTCGTAGAATGTACCGTTTTCACGAAAAAAATAAAACAATATTTTATCGCAAGTTGTGTATTTTAATTTCTATTAATACATTATCTAGTAGGTTGCTGCCAATTTTTCTAAATAAAATGCAACCATCAAATTTCGAGTCAATATCTTTAAAACACTGAAATAATTTAAAAAAATATATAAAAAAATAAAATTTAGACACTACTTATCTCGAAAACGAAGGATATTTCGACCTACGTTTGTATGATTTTTTTTTGTTAAAGATAAGTATGGACAACCTTATATCAGTTGAAAGGGCATTAAGTTTTGCATCCACCCATGACAATTAATATGGGCCATTCCGTTCGAAAAAAAAGTTTTTCAACTCGTAAGATTATTAAATGTACGTCTCGGTATTTCCGAGTCTGAATAATGTACACGTTTTGCTCACAGATGACAAGATAGAGTAATTTATGCCAAAACAAAAAGTGAAAACTGCTGGTTTCTAACTCTTACGGTTTAAATGCTATCTATCCTCATTTAGAGAGATGAAACTGTGATTTTTTTATCTCGAAAACGGTAAGTTTTACATATCCCTCTTAGGTGGGAACACCCTGTATAGTATAATAAGGAGCCACATAAATTTAAAATCGAAAAGTCTCTTCTCATCTTAGATTTTCTGTACTATCATTAATTGCCAAGCAATTAATTATCAAAGCCAAAAAGTTTATTTTTGCTTTGAACGACGAAAATTCCGTGACAAATCATCAAATAAAAAAAGGATATACCGAGTTTTATTATGTGATTAAAATTTAATTTTAGTTCATTATTAAAGATCTGAATCGATTCTTCATTAAAATTAACATCATGTTATTAGTACTACCGTGGATCAACTATTGTTAACATTGTGAAGAGAAACAGGACAACTGTTGTGTTTTTAATAACACATAATTCAGTCAAGTCTAAGAGTGACGACGATAGAAATGACAGGCAAGCACTGAGTTGTTTCCGTATGGTGGTACAAATGTACGATTGATAATTATATTTCATTGATTTCGAATGTAAATATGCCCCTTTATTAGAGTAATATTTCGGCATGTGTCACCTGTAACCCCTTAAAATTAAAACCTGATTTTCAAAAATACCCTGTATATGCAATTGTTTCAGCAACACGCCACCGGAGAGCTCCAATATTGTACCATTCGAGGAGAGTGACTGTAAAGATGAAGAAGAGGATGGATGTAAACATGAGAATGGATCAGAAATGAAAACAAAGCAAGAGCACAAAGTATTGTACAGATGTGATAAATGTATCTACGAAACTGAAAGTGAGATCCATTTTTCGGCACACTCTGTGAGACACGAGAACAATTTGGAGGTATATAAACGCGAATCTTGGGAGTATAAACCTAAAAGTAAGAAATTACTTCGGATGCACCCGTTTAGGCATAAAGATCCGTCGCAGGTTCAAATGTACAAGTGTAAAGACTGCGATTTCGAAACTAAATACAAAGGTAATATGAAACAGCACCAAGTGAAGCATAAAGATCCTTCACAGGTTCAAATGTACTGGTGTAATGATTGCGGTTATGAAACTAAATTCAAGAGTGTTGTCAAAAAGCACCAATTGAAACATAAACATCCGTCACAGGTTCAAATGTACAGGTGTAACGACTGCGATTACAAAACTAGATATAAGTATTATATCAAACAGCACCAACTGAAACATAAAGAGCCCGAGCCCTCGCAGGTTCAAATGTACAAGTGTAACGACTGCGATTACGAAACTAAATACAGGCGTTCTATTGGAAAGCACCAACTAAAACATAAAGAGCCCTCGCAGGTTCAAATGTACAGGTGTAACGACTGCAATTATGAAACTAAATTAAAGGATAGTATCAAAATGCATCAACTGAAACATAAACATCCGTCACAGGTTCAAATGTACAGGTGTAACGACTGCGATTACAAAACTAGATATAAGTATTATATCAAACAGCACCAACTGAAACATAAAGAGCCCGAGCCCTCGCAGGTTCAAATGTACAAGTGTAACGACTGCGATTACGAAACTAAATACAGGCGTTCTATTGGAAAGCACCAACTAAAACATAAAGAGCCCTCGCAGGTTCAAATGTACAGGTGTAACGACTGCAATTATGAAACTAAATTAAAGGATAGTATCAAAATGCATCAACTGAAACATAAACATCCGTCCCAGGTTCAAATGTACAGGTGTAACGACTGCGATTACGAAACTAGATATAAGTATTATATCAAACAGCATCAACTGAAACACAAAGATCCCTCACTGGTTGAAATGTACAGGTGTAAAAACTGCGATTACGAAACTATATACAAGAAGAGTATCAAAGAGCACCAAGTGCAACATGAAGAGACGTCGCAGGTTCAAATGTACAAATGTAACGACTGTAATTACGAAAATAAATACAAGAGCGCTATCAACAGACTTGAACTGAAACATAAAGATCCTTCACAAGTTCAAATGTACAGGTGTAACGACTGTAACTACGAAAGTAAATACAAGAACTCTGTCAAATGGCACCAAATGAATCATAAAGATCCTTCGCAGGTTCAAATGTACAAGTGTGGCGACTGTAATTACGAAAGTAAATACAAGAATGCTTTCAAAAATCACCAACTGAAACATAAAGATCCTTCACTGGTTCAAATGTACAGGTGTAACGACTGCAATTACGAAACTGAATTCAAGGGTAATATCAAAAATCACCAACTGAAACATAAAGTGCCCTCGCAGGTTCAAATGTACAAGTGTAGCGACTGTAATTACGAAAGTAAATACAAGAATGTTATCAAAAGACACCAACTGAAACATAAAGATCCTTCACTGGTTGAAATGTACAGGTGTAACGACTGCAACTACGAAACTAAATACAAGAGTGATATCAAAGTGCATCATCAACTGCAACATAAAGAGGCCTCGCAGGTTCAAATGTACAAGTGTAACTTGTGCGATTACGAAACTAAATACAAGAATTATATCAAAAAGCACGAACTGAAACATAAAGAGCCTTTTGCAGGTTCAAATATATAGGTGTAATGACTGCAATTACGAAACTAAAATATGGAGTAATTTCAAACAGCATCAACTGCAACATAAAAACCCCGTGCTGTTTCAAATGTACAGTTGTAAAGACTGCAATTATGAAACTAAATACAAGAGTAATATCAAACGACACCAACTGAAACATACAGATCTTTCAACGGGTCAAATGTACAGCGTGCTTTGCTAACAACCGAGCGTTGAGAGTCTTTGAGGAGACCTCAGTTGATCGACAAAAAATGGTTTGCAGGTTTGCACTTTTCCTTCACTGTGCAAAATATTGGTAAAAAATGGAGGCATTTAGAGCAACAAGTGTGGATATTACACCAAATGTAAATTTATGAATATGAAAAAAATGTGACTCCTGCCTTGAAATACACTGGTTGAAACACAAGAACCTTGCTGACAAGTGATTTTGGACTAACATTTGTAGAATTTACTGGTACCTAGTTATGTTCCTACTTTTCCTGTGTTTCTCACAATGTTACAGTTGACATACGATTCATAACTTCAACAAGTGATATGTTAAACATATACATTAATTCTAAATGGCCATATTTTCAATTGTGTAGAACATGTAATTAATAGAAAGATCTGTTATAAAATAAATATGCATAATTTTTATAGTAGAGACCGTTATATTTGTGCGAGATCAACTATACAGGGTTCCACAATTTTAATCTCTCAAACTTTAGGAGCGCATAGAACAACCAAGAATGATGGTACTTTGGTTTATAAACATGTTTTGTTCGATTTTAGTTGGAAAATGAATCATTTTCAGATTATTGTTTTTTTTTATCCTAATATGAGTTTATAGCCGGGATAAATCGAAAATGATTCTAAAACTATTGTGTACTGTGATAATAAATCTCAGATGGTGTGAGCATGTTCATCATGTACTAAAAAAACTTAATCAATTTTATTATGGAATTACTAAAATAACAGTCGCCACCTTTAAAAGTATTGTTAAATGTGTACTACTGGTCCATAGTCATCTGGTATATGATGTAATTTTGTGGGGAAACAGCACTGATGGTGTCAGGATATTCATTTCTCAAAAAAAGATTGTAAGAGAAATATTTATTATAAGTTTTAAAGATTTCTGTGGACAAGGGTTTGTTAGCAATAAAATTAAGACTTTTTCCTTGTATCTACATTTATCGGTATTTGTTATACATGGCGATTCAATCATTAACTTTAGCCACATATCCGGGAAGCCTCAAAGACAGAAAATCAAAAAAAAAATACTCCTTTTTAAAAATATGAGTTGAGTGTTTTTTTAGTCATTTAGTCATTTTAAATAAGTAGGTACCATACTACTCTTTGAAAAGTAGTAAGTCGCACAATAAGGTATACGTACGTACTACGAACTGAATAATTAATTAAACGGAACACGAAAAACTTAGTCAATTGTAAAAGATAGAGGGGGGGGTTCCAAACTTTTTGAACACCCGGTATAGTATAATAAAGAGCCACATAAATTCAAAAATGAATAAGTTGTTTTTGCTTTGAACGACGATAGCGAAAAATCATATAAAAAAGGATTTACTGGGTTTCATTATTTGATTCAAATTTGATAAAATTAATAATGCTATTGTAGATTGTATTTAAATTATCTGTTTCTGACATTTCGTTTATGGATTTATTGTATGACTTTATACATAGCCTTAAATGCCTTTTTTCATAATTTAGTTTATTATTAAAGATCTGAATCGATTTTTCATTAAAATTAAAATTATATTATTAGTACCTACTACCGTTGATTCATCTATTGTTAACATTGCGAAGAGAAACGCAATAATTGTTGCGTTAAATTTCGGATTGTCGGCAATTCCCAAAAGTTTTAGCCAAGATAAAAGCGTAACAAAAAGAAACGAGGCGATAAGGAGTGAGGAATTTGTCGAGTGAGTCGGGCTCGAGCAGATTTGACATCTTTGATTATTGTAATCAACCTTAGTTGGGTTTCAAATTCAAGTTTCCACATTATATGTCGGTATTTGTTGAGGTAAATTTACCTGGTGCCCAAAACAATCTTTAAACGGTGAACCTTCCCTTCTCCACTGAGTACTAGCGGCGAATAACCTGTTACCTTCCATAGATGGTTATAATTTAATAGATTTGTTCCATTATTGTACTGATTTTTTTGGTTTTTTCTCTTCGATGGGTGACATTGTTAGATTTTCTTATTGTGATGTTACTTAATATTAGAATTTCGTTGTATGTGACTTTCATAATTTCTAATTTCTCAAGTAAGAGTTGAGAGGAATGACAATTTAAGAGCATGCCAGAATTAATAGGATTAAAGTATGATGGTTTTTTCGGTTGTTATGTCGGGGCAAATGTACCTGGTCGCTGCCAGCTACAGACTTCCATTACCAAAATGTCACAACTGTTTGACCTGAATTTCTTATTAATAATATTAACATTTCATTAACTTCGAATGTAAATATGCCCCTTTATTAGAGTAATATTTCGGCATGTGTCACCTATAACCCCTTAAAATTAAAGCATGATTTTCAAAAATACCCTGAATATGCAATTTTTTCAGCAACACGCCATCGCAGAGCACCGATATTGTACCATTCGAGGAGAGTGACTGTAAAGATGAAGAAGAGGATGGATGTAAACATGAGAATGGATCAGAAGTGAACACAAAGCAGGAGTCAAAAGTATTGTACAAATGTGATAAATGTATTTATGAAACTGAAAGTCAGATGCGTTTTTTGTCACACTCTGCGAGACACGAGAACAATTTGGACGCATATAAATGTGAATCCTGTGAGTATAAACCTAAAAGTAAGAAATTACTTCAGATGCACCTGTTGAGGCATAAAGATCCGTCGCAGGTTAAAATGCACAGGTGTAACGACTGCAATTATGAAGCTAAATACAAGAGTCATATCAAATCACACCAACTGAAACATAAAGACCCTTCACAGGTTCAAATGTACAAGTGTAGCGACTGCGATTACGAAACTAAATACAAGAGTTATATCAAACAGCACCAAGTGAAGCATAAAGATCCTTCACAGGTTCAAATGTACAGGTGTAACGACTGCAATTACGAAACTAAATACAGCAACCATATGAAACGACACCAACTGAATCATAAAGATCCTTCACAGATTCAAATGTACAGGTGTGACGAGTGCGATTACGAAACTAAAGACAAGTATTCTGTCAAAAAGCACCAACTGACACATAAAGAGCCCTCGCAGGTTCAAATGTACAGATGTAACGACTGCGATTACGAAACTAAATACAGGTATGCTGTGAAAAACCACCAACTGAAACATAAACAGCCCTCACAGGTTCAAATGTACAGGTGTAACGAGTGCAATTACGAAAGTAAATTAAAGGGTAATATCAAAAAGCATCAACTGATACATACAGAGCCTTCGCAGATTCAAATGTACAGGTGTGACGACTGTGGTTACGAAACGAAATACAAGAGTTATATCAAAAAGCACCAACTGAAGCACAAAGATCCTTCACTGGTTCAAATGTACAGGTGTAAAAACTGCGATTACGAAACTAAATACAAGAAGAATATCAAACAGCACCAGTTGCAACATGAAGAGGCGTCGCAGGTTTAAATGTACAGATGTAACAACTGTACGTATGAAACTAAATACAAATATGCTATCAAAAAACACCAATTGAAACATAAAGATCCCTCTCAGGTTCAAATATACAGGTGTAACGACTGTGATTACGAAACCAGATACAAGAATGTTATGGAACAGCATCAACTGAAACATAAAGACCCTTCTCAGGTTCAAATGTACAGGTGTAACGAATGCGATTATGAAACTAAATACAGGAGCGGTATCAGATGTCACATGTTGAAGCATAAAGAGTCTTTATAAATGCAAATAACCAAGCATAAGGAGTCTTTGAGGAAACCTCAAGTAATGCATCAAAAATGGTTTGCCGTTGTGAATTATTACCCTTCATTCGTTGTGCAAAATATTGGCAAAAATTGAAGGCTTTAAGAGTGTCAATTGTGGATAAAACACCGATACTTTTCCTGTTTTTTACAATGTCACAATCTGCTGACTGACAAAGAGTTCATAATTTCGCCAAATTATACAGGGTGTCCCGGAATTCATGCAATAAAATTTGGTCACAGATTCTTAAGACAAATTTAGGAGACCCGTATTTTTTATTTTTGCCAAGTGGCCCCCTCTTTCGGAGTTACAGCCCCCTGAAGTCCGCCCCTAAGAATAATCTTTTTTTTATATCTCAGAACCCTGTTGTACGAGAATCACTAAATTTGGTACACAGGGGTTTTATGACATGTGGAATCTGATGGTGCTACGTTTTTTGGCGGGGAACCCCCTTAAGACAATTTTTCGTGGGCCCCCTTGTCTTTGGAGCCAAAAAAATTTGGTCGCATATTTAAATTTCTTAAAAATTATCAGTCCACTAGAAAGCCATTAAATTTAGAAACTTTTTGTCTCTTTATACTTTTTTCGTAAAACGCAATGTTTTCGAGAAAAATGTCAAAATGTGATCGAATGCATATCGTGATTCGCCATTTTCCTCAAAAACATTGCGTTTTACGAAACAAATATCAAGAGACAAAAAAGTTTCTAAATTCAATGGCTTTCTAGCTAACTAATAATTTAAAAAAAAATCAAATTTGCGACCAAATTTTTCTGGTTCCAAAGACAAGGGGGCCCACGAAAAAGTGTCTTAAGGGGGTTTCTCGCCAAAAAGCGTAGCACTGTGAGATTCCACATGTCATAAAACCCCTGTGTACCAAATTTAGTGATTCTCGTACAACATGGTTTTGAAATATAAAAAAGACTTCTTAGGGACAAAGTTCAGGGGGCTGTAACTCCGAAAGAGGGGGCCAGTTGGCAAAAAGAAAAAATACTGGTCCCCTAAATTTGTCTTAAGAATCTACGACCAAATTTTGTTGCATGAATTTCGGGACACCCTGTATGTTAAACGTGTATTTTAATTTATTAATTATTTTAAGATATTGTCAACTGTGTAGAACATGTAATTAATTGAAGGGTCTAATTCAAAGTAAAATACATGATTTTGAACATGTTCAATGGGCCGGATATGGAGTGTATACAAGAATGACTGTCAAAAATGTCAATGTCAGAATGTCACAAAAGTGAGCCATTTCTTGGATCAGGTAATGGCGGCGCTAGTGTAAGTAAGTAGAGTATGAAAAAGACGTGCGGGAAATTTTAATTTGTAAGCGCAACTTCATTGCTAGGCTTTCCGTTCCAGTGCATCAACGGCGGCTCCTTAAAAACTTTAATTTGTGTCATAAAACAGGATCCGAATTTGTATACGCGACCCATAAGGGTCTTCACTTCTGGTCTACACTCCATATCACCAATATGATGATTATTATTTAATTCAATTAAGAAAATATGTATGGAACAAAAATAATTTTTTGGGATCAGTTTTATTTTACTGTTTCTTGAATTTATTTCCTTGTATTTATTTGAATAAAAATGTGTTTTCACAACTTAATTTTCGTTTGGCGCATGATGCAAATGCACCCATGGGCTGAAATCATTATTTAATTTTATGTAAACTACCAATTCCAATAAGAAATTAGAACCTAAAAAACAAAAATAACATTTATTACAACAAATATTATTCTTGTATGCAGGTAATTCAAATTTCCTTGGATCATTCATTCACTTTAATAAAAGGGATGATTAGAATTTATCAATTCATCAAAAAACGTTATTTTTTGCTGTTATAACAAAAACATTTTTTTGTGCATTATTAAACTTTATTTAACAATAAATTTCACGGATTTTTCATAAAATATTTTTATTTTTTGTAATTTTTTGTTTATTCAACTATTTCAATTTTTTAAGAGTAATAAAATGCACCATCTTAAAGTGGAGATTTTAAGCTTTAAAAAGTGCTCTCATAAAGTTTCAATATCACATTTACAACTATAGTTTTTGAGCTATAAAGTATGGCCTAAAAAGTCAAATTTGCGATTTTTTTTAAATTATTGAATATGTTGGGCTCGATATTTTTCAAATAAAAATTTTAGGATTTTTTCCATATCGCTCACTGTTTCAACCATCATTTGAAGAGTAATCTGTGAAAGTTACAGATATTTATTTTAAAAATTAAAAGCTATTTTATTATTATTGTACAAAATTATGGAATGACGTAACTTTTTTCTCAAGTTTAAAGACATAAAATTTTCATAGCCGGATGACTGTTCTTTCATTTAAAATTTTGTGAGGTCGATTTGATCAATTAGATCAAAAGTTATAACAAATTTAATGTAGAGCGCTCGGGGCTGCGCGCTCTTCGAGAACTATACTTGGGGGGGGGGGCGGCGCCCGTCTTTTCGTACGTTAGAAAAAAATTCTACAGCCTTCAATTCGCATTTTAGAAAAAAACTTTATTAACATTTTTTATGTAAAATTTGCTGTTCTTTCGAATGGCGCAGTTAATTTTTTTTTAATTATATTTTTTTATATATTTTGCAAAAACTATAATTTTGCAACTAATTTGTTAAATAAATAATTTAGCGTACACTCTACAGTTGGTAACTTTTTATATGTTGTTTTTGACAACTTTACAAAGCGAAAAATAAAAAGTTCTCCGTAATTTTCGCGAAGTCAAAATCTGTCTTGACTCCACTAAATCAGTACATAATAATAATAATAAAGGTCTTTATTATCCACAAAACATAATCGAAAATTAATTACATAAGAATGAAAAGAAGAAAGAATAGTTGGGATAAGGGCGAGTTTCAACTAACCCTTAATTAAATTCGCAGTAATTTGGACAAAACTATAGTATAAGTTTAAACACAACTATTTTTTATAAAGACATTACTACTACAATTTACAGTTTGTTGAAAGTACATTATAAGAGCTCTATTGGACAGCAGCCATGGTGACGTCAAAAATGTATTTTTTAAACATATTCAAGGACATAGACCCGGTACAATTAGGTAAACTATTTACAGTTCTAGTAATATTATATATTACATCATAACTAACACACATCTAAAATAGAGATAAGAGTACCTACATATTGTCTTCTAGGTTTTTCCGATTATCTAAACCTTTTAATTGTTCATTGAACCCAACTGCCTAATTTTTTGGACTATTAACTTTCTCAACTGCCAATTTGTGGCAACATATATCAAAACGAGTCCACCGTTTCAAGTACATATTCAATAAAAAAACTTGAAACACTTTTCTAAATAACAAATTTTCGATAACAATGTTGTAATTTCGATTCAGGAAGTAGAAAAAATTGCGTACAAAAAAATTGTAAAATTTGTCCCTTGGTCCCGCATTTTCAAACGCCCCTGTAGCAAATTTTGATTTGTATATTATGCCGATTAAGCATATAAATAGTAATACAACCACAAAATTTTGTGATTTAATATTAAGCCCTTTTGAAGTTATGAAATAAAAAATGTTTCCAGAGTTACCCCTTTCAACGAACTATATCTCCCTTAGGGTCCGCCACTGACAAAAACTCTACTAAGGTTTTCATCATATTTCGACATGTTTTACATACTCTCCAATATTGAGTGCTTATTTCGTCAACACCTTGTATATAACAAATAGTTTCGTATTAAATTGTTTACCACGGGTAACGGAGAATGTTGGTATGTCAACTTCTAATCTACAGTATCAGTTGGTGGTGCAGGAAAAGTTAAGTGAAGCATAGGGACTACCTTCCTTTTTGAAGATACATATTTATGGATATCTTGTATACAAGTATCAAATGTCCTACAAAACGCCTAGATGTTCAATCAATTTAATCTCTCGTATTTAATTTAAGATAATTAACTGTTTATAATGCATAAAATATAGTTACGTTTAATGAATTTAAAATAGTGTTCTTTATTCCTTTCAGTATTTATGGTAGTTAATAGTGAAAAGAAAAGCTTATAATTATTAATGAACACAAAGGGTAACATTAGAAATTTTAAATTACAATTCTACATAATTATATTTCCTACATTTTACATTGACTAAACTGGGTGTGCACATAAAATTTGAATAAAAAGGGAGAAAATTTGATAAAAGCAGAAAATTATGGACACAACAAGCTGATGCTTAAATCGATGTGTGCTAATTCTGCCCGGGTTCGATTCCCGCGGCCGGTAGACTATCGATTAGTTATGCTTCTACGGAGGATTGGCACCCCCTGTGCAGGTATGGTAGGGTGGAAGACTGTTGGCTTGGGTCAATGTGAGAGATTGACACCGGTTGGCATTTGACCACGCCCCTAATTAATGAGGTTTTCCAGGTTTCCATCATTCCTGCAGTGAATGGTGGTTAGGGCCTACCAACATAAGTCGTTCCTGGGCGCAAATGCGGCCTGCTTAATAATAATATGCCGCCTCTCCCGCACAAGCCTCCGACTTCCGGGCTAATTCTCGTGGTTAGGATGAGGAGTAGAGATATTATTATTATTACTTCACCAGTCTTCACTGTCTGTTAAACCAGTCAAAATCAAACATGAAAAACCAAGGATATTTATAATACATACATAAGGCTTTTTTTCGCGACTGGAGATAGGTGAATATCTGACTTGTAGTTACTATTTCTATCTCGTTTGATCTTAATTGTCATATGGTAGTTTAAAATCTTCTTTCACTCATACTACACATACTACAACATACGACTTCACTCGCGAAAAAAGCCTATAATAATGTATTATAAATATCCTTGATGAAAAACAACGAATAACATAAGAGGTAACCACAGAATATATATAAAGTGACAACAGCTGATTAGAATGCGATGGCTTCATCACATAATTTTGGATGGGGCCGTCCTCTGTGAGAAGTTCTCTAACTAACTAGAAATTTCCTTTTTCTTTCTATGAATGAGGGTACAAATTGTGTCTATCCTAATATCAGTTCAGAGTAACTCTAAGTTGTTATTGCTGATAGTTACTCTTTTTGCCAAATCGAAAGGCCCTCATAAGAAATAACATGCCACGATGATGTCATTGCTGATTTGCTGCCGTAGTAAAAATCCAAGAAGGTTAGAATGCATAGGTTAAAAGTAAAGGCTATATATTTTTGTTTTTTGTATCTGTGTTCTATTTATACGTAATAAAAGATTGTTGCAGAGCAATGGATGTTAAGGAAACTTCGTGTAGGCTTTGCTTTAAAAATATAACCGATGAAAGTTTTGAAGTGGTAAACAATATTGTCAGAAACATTCTGAATGTTCTTTTAAAATTGGTAAGTCAGTGAAATATAATTAGATTATATCTTAATAGTCTCAAGTGTAAAGCAACTTTTAGTATTTAATTGTTATTTTCCGCTACACTTATTTTCCTCCGGTTTAAAGTTGCATATTTTTCAGAAATTTGATAACGAGAGCAAAGAGGTTATATGTAACGTTTGCAGAAGAAAGTTAAATGCGGCGTTAGAGTTTAAGTCAACCTGTCTGAATACCGATAACAAAATTATTCCTTATTTGGATAGAGAAAAAATGTTACAGCTTGACTTAAGAGAAGTGTACATGCAGGAAAAGAAAAGTGATTTAGTTTGCAGTCAGAAAATATGTCGATTGTGTATGCATCCAGTAGAAAGTGAGTTTAGATGCATACGTGAAGTTGAACTTGAAGCCATTGAGAAATTGGCTCCTGAAATGGTATGAACAATATTAAATACTTGCATATTTTGTAATTTAACGAAACTGCTTTGTAGAATATAAATATCATCAAAGATCCCGTTGTTTGTAAGCCTTGCTTTGATTCTCTGTGTACCCACAACAGTTTCCTTAAAGATTGCTCAGAGGTAGAGGAAAAAATTAAAAGTATTTTCGATAGTTCAGCCACAGGAAGTCAAATAGATACGTCTCCGCTTGATGTATTCATTAAGACTGAAAATCCGGACAGGGGATTCGATATTAACGAGATGGAAATGTCGATCAAAGCTGAATTTGTGGACATAAAATCGGAAGATGAGGAAAAGAGGTAAGAGAAGACTATTTTAATATTAATTTTAAAAATAGCAGCCCGTGGTTCTGATACTTCGTCACTTATATGATTAAATATGTACCATCTGATGATAAACTAACAAATTATTATTTTACGTCAGTTATAAACGATATCATACAAATTCTAAACAATCATCAAGAGTTAGGTTAACGAATTATTGGAAAAAGATGTAAGGGGCCATGATAAGAGAGAGGGTGGGAGGAATATAAATTATAGGCAGAAATAGGTACAGTGAATTAAACCTTTTTAATATTTTATATTTTATTCTGATTCCGGTAGATAAAAATGTTAATTTTTTAATATAAAATTCCCGAGCTAAATTTTTTAAATATGGAAATGTATTACTTTTTATCATAAAATTTTATATTTTTAAATTCTTTTGTCAACAAATATTTATACTAATTTATTACAATTGTTTAAAAAAAAATAAAGTAGTGTATCAATTTTCAAAATTAAAGTTTACTTAAATTAAATATATTTTTTGAAATTTCCAATTCAATATTCTCAGCTTAAAAATATGTTTGTACTTTTTTCAAATTTCTAGAGGGGGCAGCTTAACATATGCAAATATGCTGCAAAAGGCAGAGTTCGCATTCACTCAATATAAAGTTCATCATATATCACTAACATTGTATTACATAATTACAACACTATTCACTACGACTACGACGACAGATTGTGAAGTAACATATAATTAATTTTGTTCTTATAAGAAGCTATGGGTAATATCTTAATATCTGCCGAAATTTTATTATATATCTTTGAAACATTATTAAGTAAATGAAGCTCGAAACAGAGTTGTTTTATGTATGTTGTTAAATTATTTTTATTAAGTCAAAATTTGATCAAAATCTGTGATGTAAACATGATTCTTGGCTTTGTATTACCAAAAGTACATCAGTATTTTTGATGTTTAAATGTGAAGAACACGTAATTAAATCAATTAATTTTGTTTCGCTCAAATTAGTATGGTTCGCTAATTATTTGTTTGAGGTCAACTGAATTTAATATATTATTTAATAATTTTGTAGCAGAAGAAGTGACTTCAAATACATCAATATTAAAATTACCAGCACACAATATACAGGGTGATTCATAAGTGGTGACCAAATGTGAAACCTCGTATTCTTTGGAGAATGTTAGGGGGAGTCTTTCCTATAAAGTTTTTACCTAGGATGCTTCGTTAAGCCCAGAGCAGTAGATTTGTTGTTAATTTTTAAGGATACCCGTATCTGCTCCGTTGCCTGAGTGTCCAAATTTGAATCCTTAACATAAATTGCCACACCACCCCTAAAATAAATAAAATAAAATAAAAACGAAACAATGCCTTACATAGTTTATAAACTTAGAATAGGCATGATGACAGTAACCAAGAATCACTAAAATTATGTATGTGTCTAATGAAATATGATTAATGGATTCTAAAAAACGTATTTATTTTTATATTGTGAGCGAGATTGATAATATTTTTGATGAAATAAAACTACACAATACAGCAAACCGCCATGATAGGTTGAACACCGATCAGAGGGAATTACGTCACATCTATGTAAATGTCATTTTGTGTCATTTGTACTTCGACAATATCCGCAGTATTTATCTTCGTTTAAATATTTTGTGTTTGCCACCTATCAGTTGCTTAGTTTTTTATTACCAAAACCATAAACGTTAGGTGCTTGAAAAGTTTCTAAAAGAAGGAAAGAAAATAAAGCTCAACAACTGCGAGTTAATAAAATATGAAAAGACTATGTTTGTGATCAAAAGTTTATCCATGCATAAATTGGTGCTGAAATACAAAGAACAGTCCTGCGACACATTTTTGAAAAAACTGGTATTGACTGATGAAGATGACATGAAAGTTGAAGAAGAGACGAGACCAACATCAAAGCTGTTTTTGGTATGAGTTAGGATTTGGCAGAGTGACGGCCTCACGAGCGTTTGAATTTAGTCGGTGCAAAACCAGTGATGTAACTCTGATCGCGTTAATAATGGGAGGAAAAATCTCAGACGCATCAGCCGTGAAACGCGATAGAATGTTGGAGGATGAAGTGAGGAAAACTGTAAGTAAAGTAAAAGTTAAAAATTATGTAGAAAAAGGAAAACCGACCCAGAAGTTTTATGTGCAGATGGCAGCTACAAATGTATTTAACAGGGCTTCAAAAGGGCTATTTCGATGTAGCTGATCGCAACTACAGTACAAACAAAAAAGTAGAAATAATTAATGTTACATTTGATGACAACTATGTGTTTATTTAACTAATGAATCTTGCAACACAAAATATTAGCACCTTATGTTTACTGTTGACAAACATAGATGTGGCGTCACGTAGACGCCATGACACCGGCGACCATTTTTGCAAGAATTTAGACTTAAAATTTAAATGTCAATATTTTACTACTAAACCTTTTATTTTCTACAGAAGAAAAAATTTTTGGAAATAGTAAATACTTCCGAACATCATAGAACAGTTTTTCAAATTCTGTCATCATGCCTATTGAATGTTTGTTTGTGAAAATTTTTGAAAGTTATTATCCTTTTTAAAAACACATAATTCAATCAAATGTAATAGTGACAGTCATAGGAATTAATAATCATATCTCATTAACTTCCATTGTAAATATGCCCTTTTATTGGAGTAATTTTTTTGAAACTCTTTCGGCTTATGTTACCTGTAACCCCTTAAAAGTAAAACCCGATTTTCAAAAATACCCTGTATTTGCAATTTTTTCAGCGACACGCCACTTCAGAGCTCCTATATTGTACCATTCGAGGAAAGTGACTGTAAAGATGAAGAAGAGGACGGATATGAGAATGGATCAGAAGTCAAAACCAACGAAACTGAAAGTGAGATACACTGTGCGAGACACGAGAATGATTTGGAAGCGTATAAATGTAAGTCGTGCGAGTACAAAACTGAAAATAAGAAATTACTTCAGAGACATCAACTGAAACATAAAGATCCATCACAGGTTCAAATGTACAAGTGTAACGACTGTGATTACGAAAGTAAATACAAGTATGCTATCAAATGTCACGAATTGAAACATAAGGATCCTTCGCAGATTCAAATGTACAGGTGTAACCACTGCAATTACGAAAGTGAATTAAAGGGTAATATCAAAATGCACCAACTCAAACATAAAGAGTCTTCGCAGGTTCAAATATACAGGTGTAGCGACTGTGATTACGAAAGTAAATACAAGAATGCCGTCAAAAGGCATCTACTGAAACATAAAGATCCTTCACTGGTTGAAATGTACAGGTGTAAGGACTGTGATTATGAAACTAAATACAAGTATGCTATCAAAAGGCACCTACTGAAACATACTGATCAAATGTACAGGTGTAACGACTGCAGTTATGAAACTCAATTAAAGGATAATATCAGAAAGCACCAGCTGAAACATAAAGAGCCTTCACAGGTTCAAATGTACAGGTGTAGCGACTGCGCATACGAAACTAAATACAAGTACATTATCAAAAGGCACCAACTGAAACATAAAGATCCTTCCCTGGTTCAAATGTACAGGTGTAACGACTGCGATTACGAAACTAAATTAAAGGGTAACTTCAAAGAGCATCAACTGCAACATAAAGATCCTTCGCAGGTTCAAATGTACAGGTGTAAGGACTGCGACTTCGAAACGAAATACAAGAATAATATCAAAAAGCACCAACTGAAGCATAAAGTTCCTTCACTGGTTGAAATGTACAGGTGTGACAACTGCGATTACGAAACTAAATACAGGTATGCTATCAAAAAGCACCAACTGAAACATAAAGAGCAGTCACAGGTCGAAATGTACAGGTGTAAGGAGTGCAATTTCGAAACTAAGTACAAGAGTAATATCAACAAGCACCAACTGAAACATAAAATTCCTTCACTGATTAAAATGTACAAGTGTAACGATTGCGATTATGAAACTAAATTCAGGTATGCTGTCAAAGAGCACCAACTGAAACATAAAGAGCCCTCGCAGGTTCAAATGTACAGGTGTAAGGACTGCGATTATGAAACTAAATACAAGAGTAATATCAAAAAGCACCAACTGAAACATAAAGTTCCTTCACTGGTTCAAATATACAAGTGTAACGAGTGCGATTACCAAAGTAAATACAGGCATGCTGTCAAAAAGCACCAATTGAAACATAAAGAGCCCTCCTAGGTTCAAATGTACAACACATGTTGAAGGATAAAGAATCTTCATAAATGCAAATGTGACAAGTGATGCATAAAAAATGGTTTGTGGTTGTGAATTATTGTCACCTTTCATTCGTGTGCAAAATTTGGCAGAATGGAGACATTGAAGTGCTATCAGTGTGGACATGATGACACCGATATTTTTCCTGTTTTTTTACAATGTGACAGTCTGCTGACTGGCATATGGTTCACAATTTCGACAAGTGATATGTTAAACTTGTGCATTAATTTTAAACGGCGATATTGTCAGCTGTGTAGAACATGTAATTAATTGAAGGGTCTAATTTAAAATAAATATACATGATTTTTATAAGAGAGCTGTTGAATTCATTGTCACATTTGTGGGTTGAGTGATCAACTATACAGGGCGTCCCAATTTTAATTTGTATGTATTTGTTCTTGGTTTTATAAACTTATTTTGAAATCTCAACCATTTTCGAAATAGTAGAGATAGTGGAATCAAGATGGCTTAAAATTACGCATTATTTCGAAATAATTATGGGAAGCATGGATTTTCCTAAAACCTTTTGAAATTACTTGGAGATAAGTATTAGAAAAAAGTTAAACTTATTTCTGTATGCTAATTGTTTTTTAATTGTTTAAACAATAATAAATAGCTTTTTTAAGAACATTTAAAATAATTCAATGAATTTTAAATCGAATTCTTTCAAATTGACAAAATAGAGGTTTTTGATGTCGCTGAACAAGAATATGAAGTCAGAATATGGCCGACTATTTTAAACAATTTATTTAACAATTATTGATTTTAAATCAATCTCGCTTAGTTTTGTATTATAGGGGTTTTTGACGTCGCTAAACAAGAATATGATGTCAAAAAATGAAAATTCAAAATGGCTGAACGGATAAAAGGTTATGTCTGAGGTAGACAATTTATTAATTTTTTATACCAAATAAAACTTAGCATTTCTTTAGACGTTGTTGAACTGCCTAAAAGTTGTTGGTCGGAGTACAATATACAATGTTCATTTCGCAATAACATGCTATCAAATATCGGATATTGTTTTATAAAACTGTTCATTGTCATTCGGAAATAATTTGGAGAACAATGTAAAATTATCCGATTTACTAAATCGCAGCACATATTTAAGTCTGAAGTCTAATTTCAATTTGGACTATAACAGTATCTAAAATTTCACAAAAAGATTGTTTATAATGAATATCAGTTCATTCAAAATTATGTCTTAATTTTCTTTGAGGGTGGGTCATCGTTAAAAGTTTCGTCAGTGTCTTCTAAGAAAATTGACAACGTGTTGAAATGTATCTCATTACGGAATTCTTTTAATTTTGATAAAAGTGAATTAATTCTCTTTTTAGAAAATGTTACGTCAGTTAATTTATTCTGCAAAATTTGGAATACATCCGTCTGTTAAAAATCATTGTAAAGGTTTTTAAGAAAAAAATGAAGTTTTTGTCCAACAACAATTGTTTTAATCCATAAACGGATCCTAAAGTTTGTTGATTCTTTAAAAAAATCCTCACTATCCGATATGAAATCAAAAACATCAATAAGTTTCTTTCTATAAGTTTTAACCGTAAAAACAGCCCTAGAAGAAAAATTCCAAGGAGTGGGAGCATTACTTGGAATCCTGTGTTGCATTATTTTATTTAATACGTCAGATGTTTTAGTAGATTTGGAAAAAAATTAGGAAAATCTGGAAAGATTTGAAAAAAAATTCTTACTTTAATGGTGTTGCAAGCTTTACTTAAAACTAAATTTAATTTATGTGCGTAACAATGATTAAAATAAGCTCGAGGAGCTACGTCTTTTATTTTTCTTTGAAGTCCATTAGCATGAACTGACATAACCGCAGCACCATTTGAGCAATTAATTTATTTTTTAAGTTAAATTTTCCAAATTCATTGATTAATAATTTAAAGAAACTATCTTCATCTCCCCCACTTGTTATGTTAAAAAATCCAACAAATCTTTCAACAACTTCTACATGCACTACGTATCTAAAAATTACCGATAATTGAGACTTACAGATGTTCCTGTGGTTTCATCAACTTGCCAGGAGAAAAAAGAAAAGAAAAAAAATTGTTAGTAATTATATGTTAATGTTTAATTCCAAAACAAGTGTTATTCACTTTTTGGATGTCTATTTTGTTTATTTACTTGTATTTCAGTCAAGTCTATGAATGAAGGCAATTGGAATGATAGCAAGCACCGAGTTGTTTCGGTACAGTGGTACAAATGTATAATTATTAATCACATCTCATTAACTTCAAATGTAAATATGCGCCTTTATTAGAGTAATTCTTGTGAAACGCAATATTTCTGTACGTGTTACCTGTAACCTCTTAAAATTAAAACCTGATTTTCAAAAATATCCTCTGTTTGCAATTTTTTCAGCGACACGCCACTTCAGAGCCCCAATATTGTACCATTCGAGGAGAGTAACTGTAAAGATGAAGAAGAGGATGGACGTAAACATGAGAATGCATCAGAAGTGAAAACCAAGCAGCAGCGCAAAGTATTGTACAAATGTGATAAACGTATTTACGAAACTGAAAGTGAGATCCATTTTTTGCAACACTCTGCGAGACCCGAGAACGATTTGGAAGCGTACAAATCTGGGTCCTGTGAGTACGAAACTGAAAATGAGAAATTACTTCAGAGGAATAAAGATCCTTCGAATGTACAAGTGAAAGACTTCGATTTCGAAACTAAATACAAAGGTAATATCAAAGATCACAAACTGAAACATAAAGATCCTTCGCAGATTCAAATGTACAAGTGTAAAGACTGCAACTTCGAAACTAAATACAAAGGTAATATCAAATATCACAAACTGAAACATAAAGATCCTTCGCAGGTTGAAATGTACAGGTGTAACGACTGCAATTATGAAACTAAACACAAGAGAAATATCAAACAGCACGTGTTGAAGCATAAAGATCCTTTGCAGATTCAAATGTACAGGTGCCATGACTGCAATTACAAAACTATCTACAAACACCATATGAAACAACACCAACTGAAACATAAAGATCCTTCACAGGTTCAAATGTACAGGTGTAATGATTGCAATTACGAATCTAAACACAAGCGTGCTATCAAAAGTCACCAACTGAAGCATAAAGACCCTTCACAGGTTCAAATGTACAGGTGTAACAACTGCAATTACGAAACTAAATTAAAGAGTAATATCAAAAGGCATCAACTGAAACATAAAGAGCCTTCGCAGATTCAAGTGTACATGTGTAACGACTGTGGTTACGAAACAAAATACAAGAGTTATATCAAACAGCACCAACTGAAACACAAAGATCCTTCACTGGTTCAAATGTACAGGTGTAAAAACTGCGATTACGAAACTAAATACAAGAAGAATATCAAAGAGCACCAACTGAAACATAAAGATCCCTCTCAGGTTCAAATGTACAGGTGTAAAGACTGCGATTATGAAACTAAATATAGGAGCGATATCGGTCGTCATCTGTTGAAGCATAATGTGTCTTTATAAATGCAAATGTACCGGTATGCTTTGCTAACAACCGAGCAGCATGGTTTGCAGTTTATTACCCTTCATTCGTTGTACAAAATATTGGCAAAATGAGACATGTGAGAGCAACAAGTGTGCATATGACACTGATACTCTTCCTGTTTTTTCCAATGTGACAGTCTGCTGACTGACAAAGAGTTCATAATTTCGCCATGTTCGTGTACATTAATTTTAAACAGAGATATTGTCAAATGTATAGAACATGTAATTAATTGAAGGGTCTAATGTAAAATAAATATACATGATTTTTATAACAGAAAGCTCTTTACTTCATTATCACATTTGTGGGTTTGGAGATCAACTATACAGGGCTTCCCAATTTTAATTTTTATGCAGCTGTACTTTGCCTGTTGTAACATGTTTCGAAATTTCAACCGTTTTCGAAATAGTAGAGGTATTTGAATTAAAGTTGGCGTACATTACATCGGGTCGTGTTTCTAAAAGGTGTCCCAAATGTAACGCAAGATTTGAATTGTGTGCCATTTTCATATCGAAGAGTTGGCAGCATTGTGCGGTCACCTGTGGTAACCACGTTGCAGTTAGACGATCATCTATTGGGCCGAATATGGAGTGTATTAGTCCAAGAGCCAGAGGCAAAAAAATTGTTTGAATTTATGAAGCCTAGTTTTTTGATAGTAGATTACAGTAGCCGTATACACAAACATACCGTGATCAGTCGAGCGAAACTGAGAACTGGTGTGTCAGGTGTACTATCGAAGTTGTCGTACTTGCCGAGGTAATAAAATGAATTTACTAAGGCTGAAAATCGTTATACAAATTCTATATTGCATATAAAGAAAAGTTATGTCGGTCAGTCAGTTTAATGTGGGAACAGAACTGCTCAGTCAGCTCCCATGAATGTATGCACAAGAAAATAATGCCCAATTTGTTTATTGTATTTCAAAACTTTTGTGAGGGTGTTAATCGTTATATTAACCATATACAAAAAAAAACGTATTAGATATTCAGTATATAGAGTATATGAGAATTAAATTATTAGTTGAAATATTAAATATATCTTTGAAATCATGAAAATGAAATTCATTAAAGAAAAAAAAAGTTAAATAGAAACTTTTTGATTTTTGAGTTACAGGTCTTCAAAATTGTCAAAAATTGAAAAGGTCTTTTATTTAAAATAGTACATTATACTATAAGGGAGAGAAATGCGTTATTTTGGCAGAGGTGCAATTTGAAGCCCGAGGGCTACAATGCACCAAGGACAAAATAGCATCTCTCCCGAATGGTATATACTATTTCTTCCACGGTCTCATTAACTTAAAAACACATATTTTGTCATTATGAAGTAAGTAGCACCAGAATTATTGTATTCGGATTTGAGCATTTATTTAGTAGTCGTTGAGTTATTGTCATAACTACAAAATAAACAAACAAAAAGAATTGTCAAATTAAGGTGCTAGTTTGGTTTAGTTTAAAGTTTGTTTAGTGCACAATGAATAATTGTGAGTCGGAAGAGATTGTGGAGGCTGCAAATATTGCAATAAGCAATTTGCTGCCTACGAAGTCAAGATCTTTATACGATATAGCCTACAATCGGTTCAAAAAGTGGTGCGCCGAGAAAAATGTTCAAGTATACAGCGAGAATGTTTTGTTGGCATACTTCAGTGAAAATGCAAAGAATTACAAG